ATTACATTTGGCCCGCGAAGCCATACCAAATTACTATTAGAGCTGGCCTACTGGTATTATAAAGTTAATATATATATTGTTTAGTATTAAGCTTTGCTTGTTCCACATTCAGTTTTTCAGCAAAACTTCTTTGAGTCCATAAGAAAAGATTCATTCTTATATCTAGAGGAAGATTTTTTTTGTCAATAAATATTAATGTTAGCCCGCGACTTTGTTCCAGTTTTGAATTTTGGCCCACTGTGTATTTGAGTTTGACACCCCTGTACTAAAGGATACTGAAGTCCGTGTTTTGTGCAATCAGTTTTTGTCTGAACTCTGATCTTGTTTTTACATTTTCGTGGTTGCAAAATGATTTTTTTTACTCTTAATAACTCCTCTTGGCCTTCTAAACTCATTTTGCCTCTTGGTCTGTTCAACCAAGCCTATATTCAGACCCATCTCACTGGACTGGATCAGATAAATGTGGAAACACTAATGAGTCTTTGGCCACACAGTTTGTCTGAATTAATTAATTTAATTCTCCCAACACATTAAAAATGAAGGCAATAATACATCACTAACATAATTTCGAGATCTGTTGATTAACATTCTATGGACAGAAAGACAATTTTAAATCCACATCACTGAGGTCATTTTAACTTAACACTGACCGAAGTTTAACTCTGCAGATCATGCCAGATATACAATGAATGTTCCATTAAAACATTAAAAAAAATACATATAGATACATATAAGATTACATATGTCAGAGAAGGAAAAGATCATTTTAAATACAGAATAACAAAGTCAAATACTTAGCATATACTCAGATCTGTTTCAAAAACCTCAAACATGTAAATATTTTACATCAGATCCCCCAGATACAGATCTGTTAGCAGTTTCATTTTGACTGTCCTATTAAAAGAATGGAGACTGAGTCATCTATAACACACATAGTGATTATCTGAAACAAAGCAAAAGGATGTTCATATGCATGTGTGAATGTACATGAGCTAGTGATTAGCTTGAGATTTTTTTTAGTTTTAATATAATTACTTGAATTAATTACTTAAAAGTGCAAAAAACCTGTGAGCAGATTATTTTTCAAACAGAGGTAAAAGTAACCAAAAACTTCTTTAAAAAAAAAACTTGCTTTAAATCATATTGTTTAATATGTATGTGGGTGTTAAAATATTTTAAGGTTTGTCTTATGAAATACTAGTTTTTCTTTCTATCTCACAAAAACAAAAATTACAATATCTGGGATGTGTTCTTCTGTACACAAGAACAAAAATGAGAAGGTATGTAAGTTGTTACTTGATGTTAAATGATTTCTTGAGGCTTTTTTCTGCCTGTTCTTTTGTGATGTCATTCCAACTTTCAGGAATATCAGCAGGGTTTGCATTATATTCTTTGGCAAGGTCCATGTTGTACTTTGCCATTACATATTTCCAGTAGTCCGATGCCTCAAGGCTCGAATCTGGAGGGATTTTCCAGTCTGGGTAAATTTCCTTGTATTTCTTGTAAGGGTGCCATCTACCATTTGTATCAATGCAGCTAAAACACTGCTCACTGATCACAGAGGAAGAGCATATGTTAGTGACAAGTTTCTTTGTTACATGCCAAGTGTATCTACCCAGACCCTGAGGCCGATGCAGTAGAGCAAAGTGCTCAGTATGACCTCCTCCTCCTGCATCACAGACAACTTTGCAGAATGGACACTGTTTGCCACAACCAACCAGTTTGTTGAAAAGCTCATTCTCAGGATGCACATGGAGCTGCTGTAGTTTCACTTCAAAGTTCAATGTTTGAAACTCTTTTCTCAGATCTTGGTACATTTCGTTCACAAACACTGTGAGCCAGTCAGCAAACTGATTCTTGTCAGCATTGTTCAAAAACATGAAAGCACCAAGAGCATCTTTGGAAATGACCAGTTTATCACCAAGTTCTTTACAAATATCTTCAACAAATGTCTTCACATTATCACTCTTTCCTGTTTTTGCCTTGTTGATGGCATCATTTATGCTTCTGATACATGACTGGAGATGTCTGTCCTCAAACTCAGATATTGTTGAGAAGTGCTCCACTATTTGGTTGAGTATCCATGTCTTTACATAATCCTGATATGAGAAAATATATCTCTGGTAGTTTTTAAAATCCTCCTTCGAAAGCAGATCCAGTAAGATTGAACACTGGAAGGACATTCGTGTGCTAAACTGCTCACATGTCAGCATTTCATCAATGATTTTAGGACCCAGGGACTGATTGATAAAGTCTTGAACAGCAGGCTTCAAGCACTGGTTGGTGAATTCTTCTGCCTTCTTTTGGCATTGGTCTTCTTTATTAACCACATGTTTGAAATCATCACAAAACCTGTCCTTGTTCTTAATCAAACATCTGTAGGGATCATTTTCTTCATGCACTTTCTTAAACTCTCTGGCTGCAATTCCACAGACGTGCTGTTTTAGAAAAACTTCAAACATAATGTCTGCCTTGACCTCTTGGTTTTTCTCAAGGTTCTCATCAGTGATGTGTAGGATCTCCTTGATGTATGTGTCACAGTACATTTTTTTCCTTCTCACTTTTTCTCTCACAAATTGAGTGCAAACATCTATGATGCTGTCAGCCAGTTTTTGTGCAGCCATTATGTAATCTTGAATGTCAAAAAACATATCTACTTCCTCAACTCTATTTGAGTATCTTTCAGCTGTATATCTGAAAGGTACCAAACCACAATCTTCCAGCTTTTTTTCTAAGAGTTCAAGTGAAACGTCCCCTTTATGTTTCAGGCTTTCTCTCAGATAAGATGCTGCATTGGTAAAGATTTGCTTAGCTTGCTTTTCAGAACAAGGAAGTTTCTTCAGTGTTTCACACCACATCTTGAGAAACTTATTTTCAAGTTCTGTCTCTCCCATCGGAGCATTATTTTTCCAACACTCATTAATCAGTCCCCAAACTGCATTTTCAATCTCTTTTATGTGATTCTCTTTGATTCTATCAATTTCTATCATTTCCTGTGTGATTTCTGCTGCTGCTGTGAGCTGATTAAAAACAGTCCTTTCCATTTCACGCCGAAGGCTCTTTGCATTGCTTGAGAATTCCTCTTTATATCCTTCGACAAGATATCCATGACCGTCTGTTTTCTTAAAATATTGTCTCAGATTTTCTAGAAGTCTTGTCTCCCATGTGGACAGCACTGTGGAGGCTTCAATTTTCAAACGTTTGAGAAATTCATTGATGTCAGAAGATTCAGATTTTACAGCAACTTTACCAAAATTGGAAATTCTTCTTTCTGCGTTGGTTACAAAGGTGTACATCTCTTTTTTGAATTCCCACTCCCATTTGTTGAATTCTGTGCAGAGTCTCATGTATAAATCAGCTACGAGATTGTTTCTGAAGCTGAAGATGAAGCTTTCGTGCTTTACTGCATTCCATAGGTTTGACATCCACTCTTTAAAATCCAAGATATCCTTGGCCGATGACTCACAGTTTCCCAGCAGTTGGATGATGTGTTTCTTGAGCTCATATACAGCCTCACTGTACCCTACACTGACTGGTGCCATTGGTGGGTTTCCATTCCACAGTCCAGGAATGTACCAGTTCCCAGTGTCTGGACTGTACTCCATCACATCAGTGAAGCTCTTGTTCTCCTCTTTCTTTTCCATTTTGGCTGCTGCCTGGGTCATCTCATT